CATTCATAAACGTCCAAATCATTAGAAATATTAGCAATAAATTCAATCGATCTATGTTTATGCTAATTAAAGAAGCAAAATATGCGATCTGAGGAAACATCGTCCAAAGTATTAAAACTTTCTGAATCTCAATCGGAGAATTATTTGGATTATAAAAGGATTTATGTTAACCAAGCAGAGGTGTTGGAAAAGGATGTAAATAACTCACATCGCAAACTTATGGCTATTGATGTTGGTTATGCAAAATACATATGGACCAAAATATACAGTCAGACATGAGGCACTAGAAGGGGATTGAGGTAAAGATCGCCATCTGAATAGCAAATAATAGTGGGTGGGAAGTCCCTTCTTGACGGATAATTTGACTAAATTCACTTACTTGGTTGAAAGTTACCATAAAATAAGGCAAAGAAGTTGGAGTACATTAAGTATGGGAATGCAAGATGAGGCACAAAATGCAACAGAGCATAAAGTTTTAGTCTCATTCCAAATTACCAGGAACTTTAGAGCCCCAGTTTGAGGCAGCCAAGGCGTCCATTAGAGTTCTAGTGTCCCGAACACGTGCCTCCTGTTTAAGGCGGAATTCTTGATAGGCGCTCACAGCCTCCGCCAGAACCTCTTTCGATGTCGTGGTTGTCTTGGGCGGTTGGGTTGACTTGTAGAGCATCTTAGCCACCACAAGGATATAGACGCGTGTGGTGAGCAGGCGCATCCACCGGAGGTCGATAGAGGGATCAGGCACTCGGAGGAGGTCGTTTGAACCACTAGGTGCGTGGTACCAAGTTTCCCAAGCTGTCAGTGCAGCCTCCACGCCTCCATTGTCGAGAAGACGCATTAGCTCAATGTGACGTTGTTCCGCCAAAGCAGCAATATCTTCTGTTGGTGATGTGGCAGTGTGCATCTTTTTAGCAATCTAAAAAGACCAGATCATTTACCTCTTATAAACTGTTTTTAAACTGCATTAGTTTATTTGCTATACCAGAAACGGAGTACTGAGTAACAACTCAGGATGGCTCGCAAAACTAAATGCATCTTCAGTTCTTGGTAAGTAAGCAAACAAGGCAAAAGCAAAGCATCAGTCAACGAGAGGCAAAGGTGACTGCCATTGAGTGATAAAACTAATACTTTGACAAAGGACTAAAACGAGTGTTGATATGGATCACACCTAATTTGTCACACCATAACTCGTCCCTTAAAACATCCAATTAGTATTATCCAGTAGCAGACTTCAACATTAACAGAAACATATCGAGGTACTTTAGGCCATGTCAAGGTTACAAATACAACATTTTTATGTGTACTAACTTGAGTTTTAGGAGTAAAAAGCTGCGTTTCAAGGGATGAAGAACTAAACTACAACAACTTAATCACTTCAAACAACCATTAAGCTTGCGTGAAAAATGAGCTAACTATCTGATTGCATTCGGCACAGTATCAATTGTTATCGAGGTGCATGGATTAAGAGTCAATATAGCACAACTGATACAAAAGGATGGTAACTAGTTTGGACATTTAGTAAGTGGTAACTTATTCACTTGGAATGCAAACAAGCGTGAGGATATTTGTTGCAACTAGCTTAGCTTAAATTTGAACGAGTCGAAAAAATATCTGTATTAAGGAAACCGCATCCAGACTATGGCTATAAAAAATTGATAAATCTTGCGGAATGAATAGGGTTATGGCCATTAGTGGAAGGCTATTGAACATACACTTTGATAATCAAAAAAATTAGAAGCTATCTTTGCAATTCGAACAGAGACAGCTACCTATGACATTAATGAGGATCACATCCTCCAATATGTCCTTTGCCCAATCATAGTGAGCCGTGATTAACGACAGATAGAATTCGTACGGAGATACGCGAAAAAATTTCAACTATTGGTGATTTCAGCTAGCGTAAAGCAACAAGGAAGTTCTGCCTACTAAGCATTTTTTCCGCTAATGGATGATAAACAATATCTTCTATACCGTAGTCCGACGTGTGACTTATCAAAGTCACTGTCAAGCATCAAAGACCGTTCTCAAGTTGGAGAAAGGACTCATAGACAGAAGACTTATATAAATTAAAAACGCAATCATTTTATTAGTTTGTGTAGGAGCAGTAGATGCAGGGTGACATGACGCCAATAGCAGAATTAAAATCCTTACACAAAAGAGAATCATAGCAACATAACAATAAGGGCATATGCCTAAAGACGACTGAATAGGGAGCCATAGCAACGCTCGCTTCGTGAAACTGCAAGCACTACTACGCGCAGATAATCAAGGCAGGCAAACAAACCAACCGTTTGCTTCACCTTCTCCATTTCAGCCGTCTCAGATGTAAGCAATATCTTCTGCCTAAATAAGTTACAAAGCGGAACTTAGTGTAACTTCGCAATGCAATAGGAGACTCTGGTAACAGAAAGCATGAAATTTGAATTAGCTAGTTAACCATGGGCACAGTTACCTATCCGATAACTTTCTCAGCGTAGCTTTGTCGACGAAAGAGGAAAATTTCTTGGCGATCATCAGAGCATCCGCCAAATCCTTCGAAGTGGCAGTGGAGAATGTGACTAAGCGTTCAAGCACCAAATTGAACGTCTTGCCAGACTTGAGAGAGTCCACATCTTCAGTTACCTCATTCATCTATGAGTGAGAGACTACCTGTGAATTTTAAGTAACATACAACGATAGAGACAGCAAAGAAGTGATGTCCCCGCGTTAGAATTGCCAGGACCATCTCATTTGGCACAGAACAGTAGCGCGAACCCAAATCATTATTTTAAGTATTTCTGAGACACATTAAAAAATCTTTCAAGGGGCGTCGAGTATTACATGGATTCCAGAAATAGGCAGGACAGGGTCTGGACATCATGGCAAGGTGCTGGAGATGCCTGCAAATCGACCATCTAAGTCGGAACATGGGATTTGGACAAGCTTCCCACTGAAACCAAATGCACGTTTACAAATAACACTTCCAACCTAGGGTCATTATCAATTTAGGCGCAGGCCACCTGCACAAGTCTCATTTATGCGTCCAGTGAACAACGCTAAAAAACGTACCCACAATAACTTCAGCTAAGTTCAACATGCAAAAACGCCTTATGGTTGTCGCCGTTGTTGTTGCATGGTTATCGCAAATTGAGGGTACATTCTAATGATTACACTTAATCACTTGCGGTTAGAATTTAAATTGGGATTCATTAGGACTTTTCACACCAATTGCCATTCGAGTTGCATAAAAAATTACATTTTTAGGTGATAAAACGTGAGCAATGCCTGCAATAGTTTACTGCTTGAAATACTTTAGGACAATTAAGATAAAATACTGGTAAATTTCCAAAATGACAAAGTGTTGTTCTAACTAAATAATTGAATTATTAGAGTAAAAAAAGCTGCGTCAAAATCACAAAAGGAGATCGACCTTCAGTTCCTAAACTCACAAAAGCCACAGCATCCTCCTTCGCTGCCATGCCCATGTCTCTGTACCGCCCCATTCCTTTTTTCCTACCAGAGGTTTCACCTTCCACTTTGTCCCCCGCCGCTTGATATCTACCAGAAACACGTCTTTTGAAGAAGTCAGCAGCAGAACCCTCCAGCTTTAGGAGTTCAAGAAGGAGGAAGGCAGAATTTTCGTTGAAGGCAAGACCCTGCATCAGGAGATGCCGAGCCTCGCGTATCCCTCGTAAGTGGGTACGATCCCATGCCAGATGAACTGAGCGACTAATAGACGCACGTAATTTGCGCAAATGAAGAGCCTCCAAGCCTTTCAACGCAAGGAAATAAACTCACTAAGTTATAAGGTGAGGAAACAAAGAACACCCAAAGCATTAAAGTATGCTTAAAAACTTTACTAGAAACGCAAGTGAGGTGAACACGTGGTACTGAGATCCTCGCATTCACTTGATGCGAATTATTTCGAGGGAAATTAAACGTAATCCAACGTGGTGCGAGCGAGTAGCACGCGTACAAGACATCAAGCGAAAAGCATTTTATCAAAATGGTCACGAATGTCTGCCAATCCCCTACCTCTAATAAAAGGGGTTCATGTCTAGCTTCAACAATTTCAGAGGAGCAAATCCAACTTCTTGTTTCAGGCTGTTGTAGATATGGGAACATAGGGATAACATCCCCTAAACGAAAATTCTTAACAAAGTGAACAAGAGCAGAGTAATAGGGGCTAAAGACTCAAGAGTGGCAAAATCAGATATGTACCCAATTTGCAGATAATTTCCCAATTAATTTTTTCTAAAATGTTAAAGCAACTAAAATCCATCGAAACGGTTCAAGAATGGAATCAGTTCCATAAGTGAGAACACCTACGAATAACTGAAGTACAAATGAGTTGGGTACAGATTACAAAAACCACAAGCTACCGAAAGTGATAAATGGCAAGGGAGCTGTCTGTAGCTAAATAATCATCAAGATTAATAAAAAAAGGCAACAGAGTGTATTCGAGGAATAGCAACGAAATCTGAAATCTTTTAGAAACGGACAGACAAATGTAAGAATGGGAAGCCATCCCAGACGCCTAACAGAAAGCAAGATATAAGGCCCCAAAACTGTCTACCAAGACAAAAGCGACAATTTTTTGCATGAGATTCCTTAAAAGAATGTCATAAACTTGCGCAAAGCAATCCCCTCCTGAGGGCACGTGGGACTTTCGCGAAGTTGCTTCACTTTCTTCGCAGCCATCGTGAGCGCATGTCTCTCAGTCTTGAGCTTGGCTAAAACCGCGCGAGCTTGGGCACGAGCACCCTCATTCAAGTGAAAAGATGCTGCGGCCGCCCACAAACGCGGATCAGTTCGACCATGAATCTGCAGGATTTGCTCCCAAAGGCGAACAACAGTCATATGTCGACCCAACTTCCGGTTGAAAAGTAAAAATCGGATCCACACGTCAACATGGGACTGGAATCGATAGCAAATTTGCTACAGAATATAATGACAAGCATGGAAGAAGGAAATACCCTATGAAGCCGAGTCAGCCGAGAAATAATAGATCTCTCGATCTCGTCCTTAAAACGACAATCTGCAGTCTTCTGGCGCCTAATAATAACGAGTCGTAAAATACCGAGTTCCGACGCAATGTATGCTTCGTAATCTGAGAGTCTCTTATTGCGCTTTTGGATACTATATTCATGATACCTTCTAAGACGAATAATTTCTCTGAAATGAAAATAGCTAATTCTGCTATAAACTGTACCTCAATTCGGCTTCATTGAAAAGCTTTGCCCGGCGAATATGTACAATCTCAGTCAACCCATCTTCAACGTTGCGCTCTACAACTTCGGCCATGCAGAGGCATGAAAATACCGCAGTGGACCAATACCCAGGTTTTATAGTTCCCGCTGAAAGAATTAAGAATGGTTAAGAGAAAGAATAAAAATTTCATAGGTTAGGCAAATTTACAAATCTGTCTTAAATTTAATTAAATTATTTTCGTAAGAGCGCTGGATTTTCATGGTGTATGCTGCAGATGCGAACCGTAATATCACTGATTCCCTTAGCTTGCTGATAAATTCAAAGAAGGAAATGATTCGGACGCCCCAAAAGGGGTTGGATTAATGGGTTCATTGCTTGTGTATTAAATGTGAAGCTGGGGTGCATAGTTTGAAGCTACAACATTTGGTCTTCTTAGATAAATGTAAATAAACAGCTGTTGAAATATATCTGGCGTAGAAAGCGATAAAAATCTGTGACCCTCCAAGATTTATCATTATTTAGAACAAGGCATGAAGTGGGAACTGCTGCTTGCAAAAAAGAGGGAGAAGGACAAGTTTGGTTTCGAT